TGACCTGCATTTAGCTTTTGATGAGCCTAAACTCGAAACCCAAACACCAAAAACCCTAAACCCTAAACCCCAAGCCCGTATTATTGTCATGGTACCCCAAGAAGCCCACAACCGAGGATTGGACCGGGTCAGGGAGCAAAGTCGGACTTGTGGAAAGACCGTGTCTTGGGTTCATTTAGGGTTTTGGGCTTTGGGTTTCGGGTTTAGGGTTTAAGGTTTAGGGTTTAGGGATTTCTGGAGTTTTTGTTCCAAAGCCCCAGACCTTGCCCCCTTGGCCTGCAAGTATACAAATGGTACTTGCTTTGGGGTCCCTAAACCCGAAGCCCTAAACCCTAGCCCGAAACCCTAAACCCGAAACCCTAAACCCTAAAACCCTAAAACCCTATCAAACCCTAATAAGTAGTGTGTACTTTGGGGGCCACGCGGAGCCTTTTTTCGGCTCGGCAAGCCTTCCGTTTGGTTGCCCAGACAAAAAAAAAAGCAAACAAAAGCCAAGTCCATAAAACAAAAGCAGAAATAGATTATAGGGTTTACAGGGATATTGTAGGGTGTTTAGGGATAGTATAAGGTTTTTTGGGATATTATAGGGTTTAATGTAAGAATATTGGGGTTTTGGTGGCTATTAGAGTATAAGCACAAAGGGATCCTAAGGGAATACTATTCGTAATTACTCCGACCACTATATTACGCTTTTCGAGTACACTCTCGTCAATTCTGAAAGCTGTCGCAGCTTTCGAGTACATTTTTGTACGTGCATGTCCAAAACCCAGATGCGTTTCCTGAGTGCATTTTGCACACAAATGATGCACAAACATATGTATTTTCGAAAACTTGACGGTCTGCCTGATTGTGCCGCTAAACTCGATAACGGTTAAGGCTTTTACGGTGTGACGCTAAGGCGAAGAGGCCCCTCACGCTTGAACATGTCAACCGCTCGCGTACTCATGCGCTGGCATCCTGGGTCCAAAACTCCGCGACGAAACTAACCAGCAAACTCACCGGCAAAGGGGACGAGGAATTTCGCCTGTTCTAGTGATAGCACTCCGTCTCCAGCTAACCCTGCGCGCAGCTGTCACAATGAAGCCGAAGGGAACTGCGCCCAGCCTGAGGCGGGCCGAAAGCTGTAAAGGTGGCAGGGAGCCAACATCTCCGACAATCGATATTCAAAGTTGTTTAGTTCTTTTCATGGGGACACCAGACAAACTATGCAAAAACCCACAAAGCATGTTCACTTACCGGACTTACCGGTGTAGGCGCATCGTCTTGTCATCATCAGCCAGCTGTCAACTGCTTTCCTTAGTGCTGCAGCTGTCTCGCCGAGCCTGAATCCTTTGTGAACTGCTTGCGCATGGCCACGTTTGGCTGGTATAACGTGGCACAGGCCCTGGGTGGCCTTGGCTGTTGAGGTGTCGACAGGCCCAAGACCTCATAATTTGCCGGCTCGTGCTTGCAGGAACTTAGCCTCTGCTATCCAGGCAATTGCGGAAGCAGAGGAGGCCGATGAGGCGCGGTCCAAACAGCTACACTCGAGCGTGCAGTTTATCGCAGCAACAATCCAACTACGCGCCGGTGGAGGACGCCGTTCGTGGCCTCATGCCCATGTGTGATTTCAGAACAACTTCCCTGTCAGCCATTCTCAAGCAGCAAGAACCCTCCTTGGGCTACAGGCTTTCCAAGCCTGAGCGGTAGGGAAAAGCCACGTGCTTCTCAAGTTGCGAGAACTGTTCACCAACGTTCTCGGCTACACATAGGGGGTGGAGTTTCAGTACGCGGCTTTACAGGGCATCATGGCTGCACAGTACGACGGCGTGACCTTGCACAGCTTGCTCGGACTGGACCGGAGGCAGCAAGCCGTGGACGGAGCGAACCACGAGAGGTTGGCTCGCGGCGTCCAGCACTTGCGGTGGCTTGCGATAGACGAGGTCAGCATGTTGTCGGCGCATTTCCTCGCGGAAGTGGAATGCAAGTTGCGCCTGCTGCTCCCGAGACAAAGCCGCGACCCCGCTGCGGCTGCTGACGAGTCGTTCGGCGGCATAAACATCATCCTTGCTGGCGACTTCCACCAACTGGATCCGCCAGACAATGGTGTGGCGTTGTGCACGCCGCCAAGCATGCAGCAGACAGTTCAGACCATGGCCATGGAAATCACACAAAGAGGCGAAGTCGAGCAAGAGAATCTGGCAACCCAGAATGCGGATAGCAGCTTCACGGATGTGAACACAATCCTCATGAATCACGAGGGCGTTTGATACAATGTAGAACCGATTGATGTACATGAGCCGCATTTTGCGATCATCAAGTCAGTGTGCTGCTGCTGCTGCTGCTGCTGCTGCTGCTGCTGCTGCTGCTGCTGCTCGCACCTGAGGATGGATCTCCCGTCTTAATCGGGAAATTGCTCGAAGAATTTCGTGGGGGATGTGGTAGAGCTTGTTTGGCTTGCGCTGCGTCTTGTATGGCAACTTTCAAAGCTTTGAGTGGCTCAATATCCCCACGCGTCTGCTGCTTGTTGACCGTGACTGCGGCATCTGGTGGTCACGTTGCTACAACCTCCTTCGCAAAACCTGCTGCGCGCACGATGTTGCTTAAGAGCGCGAAGAGCAAAATCAGTCAGCAAGACAGCTATCGTCCCCACTATCGCGAATATCTATGCTTCTTGCAGCTTCTTGCCACCAGATGTTCTCCTTCTTCACTGGAGCCGGGAGCCTAGCCTTCACATTTACGTTCGCCTTTGGACCCGCCTTTGGATGGCTCCGAGCAGGTTCCACGGACCAGGTATACAACTGTTACAGCGACGAATGCTAAGTTTTCATTGCAAGCAGTCGGCCAAGCTCTACACAAGATCCATGGTCCGTGGTATTCGTTTCTCCTTGTTAAATGCATCGCATTTGATTTTCTTTGTTTTTTTGGGGGGCCGATGTTGATTGAAGCTGCTTTAGTCCTCTTGCTGTTGGGGCTACAGTGTCCTCATATTCATGGCGCATCTTCTTCCGTGATGCCAACAAGATACTGAACGGGATTGCTCACTGAATGGTTGTTGAACCGTTGGGGTTTGGACTGATCGTTGGCCAGCAAATGTGAGCCGCAGTGTCAGCTTGTCGTCGCTCGTTTGGTTCAATTGCTAGCATCATCCTGCTTTGAACGTGAATGTAGCATTTGTTTGGTTTGAGGCTCAGTTATGCACTCTCACAGCTGACTCGAATGCCGAACAAGGTGATCAGGGAGACCCTGGTCTGGGTTAAATCTAGATTGCACCATTGCACCAGCAAGCTCACAACCAGAGAGGTGTATGTACTGCAGCGGACTGGCCTTCCTTCGAGGCAGGGATCCGTCAGCCTTGTATGGCTATAAAGGGGAGCGCGGTGGGGGGCCAGGGGTGGGCCTCTTCCCGGAACTTTGCAGGTACGTTCTGATGAGATCTCTACAAAGAAGAGGCTGCCGTTGCTTTTGTCTGCTGGCGGCTCTTTCTTGCACTGTATTGGTGCATTGCGGGTTGCAGACGTCCCTTCAAGCCTGCTTCATTCACAGCAGCTGTCTTTCAACTTTCAAGCCTTCAAGCTGGAGAACTCTCACTCAGGAGGCAGATGCGTCGCGTTTGATTGCATGCTGATGCGCAGGAGTGTCCATTTTGTCGAGGATGGCAAGCCAAGCGGAGATGATTGCCACGTGCGCTGCCCCTCTCCGGAATCGAGGACCTGTCTTGTTCGCTCCGGTGGCCAAACTGTGCCTGCCAAAAGCCCAGCTGATTTTGGCAGCATGCCACAAATCCCGGCTGTGTCGTGGGAGTGGGTGTAACTCCTCCAGGATTGGTGTGCTTCAAAGCTGTTCCGGCAGCTCTTCGCCCAAGCCTGGATGGGGAGTCCTTTTGCTACTGGCCTGCAATCGCTGCGGACACTGACCAGCCGAAGTTGCTTGTGATGCTTTGTTCGTGAAAGGTGTGCACGGCCGAAAGCGGTTCCTACGGTGTGACCAAGGAGGAGGCTTCTTGGCTTAGTAGCAGGTTGGTGTATCAATTATCTTGGTTTTTACGCCAGCCCAGCGGAAATCACGGAGATGACGTGTCTTGGGAGTTGGTCACGTTGATACGCAGCTGAGTATAAAACTCAACAGGTTTTCCCAATGCGTTTGTGAGCGATAATTCTTCTGCTACGTGCGCGGAACAAAATGCACACTAATTATACTGCACAACACAATGTTGGACTTGAACAGGTAAGACCAGGTAAGATAGGTAAGCATATTTCTGAGCATGCCGGCCAAGCCATACTGCAAGAGTCGGTTTGTGTTCTACAGTACTGCATGCCCTGTTCCGTTATGCTGAGGCACAACAGGTTAATGCCGGCGAAGACCCTAATGTTGGACCTGCTTTAATAATGTAACCCCCCCCCCAAACAGTCGAGGAACCTGAATAAAGAAGAGCCCCAAACAGTCAGGCAGGGAAGGGGTCCGGAGGCCTCCGTAAGCTACCCCCCGACCCTGGCAAGGTCGAGGCTTCAGGCTTCAAGTGCCCCTTCTTCTCGAGAAAGCTTTTGCCTTCCTGAAAACCGAAGGACAGAGCCCAGGGCCCCGGTAGATTTGCATTGTAGCCGACCCCCAAACAAAGGTATTAAAGTATGTCCGGAGGCCTCCGTAAGGTACCCCCTTTCCGGATATGATTTGCCTATGGAAACATATAGTTTTTAATAAGGAATTTATAAAGAAAAGGCGCCCTGAAAAAAGAAGATTTTCGGAGATCCTGGAAAGGTCGAGGCTTCAGGCTTCAAGTATCTCTCCTTCTCGAGAAGGCTTGTGCCTTCCTGAAACCCTTAAAAAAACAGTCCCGGCCCGAAAACTTTTCATTATAGCGGACCACCAAAACATAGGGTCAAGATGCCGAATAGCCGGAAAACTTTTCATAATAGCGTCCCACCAGAATATTGCGGGTGCAACATTACACAGCATGGGAGCAAGCCGACTTGCACAACAACTTTTCTTCGTCGTCATCATGCACGGCTTTCAGTGCAGGCATGACCACACAAGCAAGCTTCTGGATGATCATCCTGGAAACGTGTTGTGGCTGGGGTGTGCTAGAAGGCCGTCAGAAAGTCTCCGCCATCCAAAGCTTCATGGAGAAAAGCGCCCGCCTCTCCAAGTCATGCTCAATGGAGAGTCCCCCCAGCCTCTGAGCTTGCAGTTCCAGGCGCTGGGCCCTCCCTGCTCCTGGCAACTTACGCAGCACTGAGTCGGGCTGCTGTTCCACGGTGGCCTTCATGTACCGAAAACAACATCCAGAAACCTGAGGCCAAGGCCCGTGCGGCACTCCTGGCCCAGCAAGCCGAGGTGGGAAAGGGGATTCGGGCCCCTGAGCCCAATCTAGGGTCTGGGCTCACAAAGGGTGGCCGCGGAGAGTGAGCACATGTGTCGGCAGGACGTGGAGGCACGATTGACCTCTTGCTTGATTCATTATTTCAGGATGGAGGATAGCAGTACAAAGGAACGCTGCCGCAGCTCGACGAGAGCAGGAACGAGCCGAGAAGGCAGAGGAGCAAGTCCGAAAGGTTGAAGAAGGAGGTGACGAAGCACGTCGACACCGAGAAGGATCTCTTGCGCAGGCTCAAGGAGGCGGACGTGGCTTACGAGAAGCTGCGAGAAGAGTTGCGACGGGCTGAGAGTGATCGGGACCTCTTCTACGAAAACTGGTGCTGCTGGCAAGCCGAGACAGAACGTGTCAGATCGCTGGCCAAAAAGTACATGGGTCAGAGAGACCAGCTTGGCAGGACAAGCAGGCGCAGGTTTGCATCGTTTTTGCTCGTGAAAAGGCATGTGATGGCTGCGATGGACCGAGTTGCGGGCCTTGTACGCCAGACCAGCATTCCAAGCATCTTCAACCCATCATCTCACGCGCAAGGTGCTATTCCCACGACACCCCCCAGGATCTCCGACTTTCCGTGGTCCATGCTTAGTGAATGACAACTCACGCCACGCCGGTGCGGATGAAATCCGTCTGAAAAACACAACGTCATTGACCCAACTGGCAACCTTAACATTTCAGCCGCTTACCGCAAATTGCGAATTCACAGCTCCAATTATCTCCCTCGGGGATGTCACGGGCTTTGATGATATGGAATGTAAAACAAATCGAGGCGACGGTCCATGTTCTGTTGTCTGTTGATTTTTTTGGAAACCCACGTTGTGGGTCATTTCTGAGGGCGTCGAGTTCTGACGGTTTGGGAGGTTTTGGGCTCAGATGTAAGGGTTACTTTGTGTTGCAGGTAGTGGAGATGCTCAGTGAAACATTAATATTGCTAGGCCAGCCCTGTTTCAAGCAGAGTTGCAGACCCACGGTTCCAAGCTTCAGCGCCCCAGAAACTTAATGGTTTTGCGGATACAGGGCGAGGGTATGTTCGGCACTTTCCAACCCAAGGAGAAAACTCCATCTACAACAAAGCAGTGCGTGCAGATCCCGCTGGGGCTTTCAAGAAGCAGGCACGTTTGGGCTATGAGAAGGCTGAATGTCATTTTGTCAACCCAAAACTTCTTGATGGTTGCTGGGTCAAGGTGCAAACCAAGCATGAAGAAGTAAAGGCAGTGCTGGTTGCGCAAACAGTCTAGGACCCGGAGTAGGCCCTTATTGTTTTGTTTTAAGAATTGGGGTTCCCTTATCCTTAAAACCAAAAGGGGCACCCTTCTTATTCCTAGGTTACTCCTGGGTGGAGAAGTGTTGCGCATGAGTTCTTCGACTTGGCAAGCCACGTGCACCCCGACGATGTGTTCGATGCCCATGCCGATCTGCACCTCCCCAGAAATCTGATGTAGGGCTAAGGGTTTAGAGTTTAGGGTTTAGAGCTTAGGGTTTTGGGTTTAGGGTTTAGGGTTTCGACCTCAAACCCAAACCCGAAAAACCACACGTTGCCGCAGGTTGACAAAGCAACTGGCATCTGGAAACAGTTGCTTACCTGAGACTTCAGGGACCATCGACCCTAAACCCTGCGCGTCCCAGTCGAAGCAGCGAACCTGCATATACCCTAAGCTCTGATCACTCTACACTCTAAGCCTTCAACCTCATACCGTTTTCAGGGGTTACATAGGGTACCTAACTTCCGCGTTCCCTTCCAACAAGCAGCGGGGTCGGCGCGCTGCGCAGGCGTCAAGTAACTTGAAACGTCTGGAAAGTCCCAGAACTTTCACTTCGGGCTTAGGGGTCTTGCGATAATGCATGAAACAACAAAACTTCATGCCCTCAAATCCTGATCAGGCTAAACGTGAGGGGTTTAACCTCACGACCTAGAAGTTCAAAACCTGAAGCCCTAAACCCGAAGCTCCTCAGCCCTAGAGGTCCTGTCAACCTGACTTCCGTCAGGTAAACCTAAACCCTAAACCCTAAACCCTATACAAACCCTAAACCCTAAACCCTAAAAGCGCCATCTACTCACCCTCTGCCGAATCTTTAGAGACTCTGATCCTTAAACCGTAGAGCCGTGAACCTAAATCCTAAAGCCGGTTATTCTAAACCTGAGAACCTGATTCCTAGACCCTAAATGCCAAACCCTATACCCTGAACCCTAAACCCTAAACCCTAAACCCTAAACGAGCCTGGACAAAGCACACCCGAGCGCCCAGGATGTCATCGAGGATCGAGCCGAAGCTGGAGATGGAGCGGCCCCAGATTCAGGCCAGGAGCATGACCACCTAAGCCCTAAACCCTAAACCCTTAAACGCGTGGGCCATGTTAGATCCTGTTTGCAATGCCATTGAACGGATATTCTCCAACTAGGTTGGCTTTTGGGACATGTTTTTGCTTTCTTACCTGGTTTAGAAGGGACCCTATATATAGATATTGTTCAAAGGCTTTAAAGGCCAACCCAGCTAGTTGAAGGATGTTGCTCAAGGAGCATGTCTGCTGTTTCAAGGCACTCAAAAGGACCAAAGCCCAACTCTGCTTTGGCTGCGGTTGCGAAGAGCTGGCTCTGCTTGGTAAAAGGGGTTTCGGGCTCAGGGTTTAGGGTTTGGGGTTTGGGGTTTAGGGTTTAGGGTTTAGGGTTTAGGGTTTAGGGTTTAGGTTTAGGGTTTAGGGGTGTGGGTTTAGGGTTTAAGGCTTAGAGTGTCAGATGTCGCTTTCCTTCAGGACCAAATGACCCCTGAAAGGGTTGATGGTTCATATACCTCACTAGAGATGATAGGAGTAAAGGGTATAGGACCCCAATTGCAGGGTTCATGTGGTCCCCAAGGCTTTCGTTGCTTCAAGGGTCACTTAACTTACTGTTTGTTAGCAGGGAATCATGGAATGAGGACCCCATATATACCCTTTAAGGGATTACACAGGGTACCTCAGTCCCCCATTACTCACAAACAGTAAGTTATGGTGTCGCAGTTGAGTCACTCTGCGCCCAGGAGGTCCGCTCCGCAGTGCTCTTGCTGAAGCTTGTCTCGGATATGGGCATTTTCTGAAATCGGGTTTATTGTTTCGGGTGTAGGTGTCTACCAAATTTACACCCCAAAATACGATAAGTCCTTATTAAAGGAACCCCCCAAAGCAAAAAAGAACATTGCTACTTCCCGCCTAGACCCTGAATCCTAAACCCGAAAAGAGCCAAGCGCAATGCTGTTTAGTGTGACATGAGTCGGCTACACTTCCCTGGGCCCTCCAGCACAGAAACTCAAACTGTCATGCCCGTCTTGCACCTGGGCCTTCGAGGCAGTTTCTTACGTAGGGTTTAGGGTTTAGGGTTTAGGGTTTAGGGAATTTAGGGTTTAGGGTTAACCCTAAACCCTAAACCCTAAACCCTAAACCCTAAACCCTAAACCCTAAACCCTAAACCCTAAACCCTAAACCCTAAACGTCAAAGCTGTGGGCAGTCGCGATCCAGGGGGGCTTACCAGGGTGTTTGGGCGGCCTCGTGCTCGGTGCACAAACCCCAAGCCAAGGCTTAGAGCTGGTTTTAGGGTTTAGGGTTTAGGGTTTAGGGTTTAGGGTTTAGGGTTTAGGGTTTAGGGCTTAGTGCGGTACAGGTGTCTACTCAGTTGCCGATAGGTTCCCCTTAACAGTCCCTAGATGAACAATCCCTCGATCATCAAAATGCAGGCTACCCAAAACACATTTTTGGGTCGGCTCCGATTGTTGTTTCCGACTCCCTAAACCCTAAACCCTAAACCCTAAACCCTAAACCCTAAACCCTAAACCCTAAACCCTAAACCCCAAACCCCAAACCCTAAACCCTAAACCCTAAACCCTAAACCCTAAACCCTAAACCCTAAACCCTAAACCCTAAACCCTAAACCGAATTCGACTCTAAGGAAAACTCCGCTCCTGGAAACCATGACTTCCGCTGCTGGGATCCTCGAGGGCGACGGTCAAGAAGCCTTCGACAGAGAGCCGCTGGACCCAGAGTAGGCCCTGATTCCTTGCTTCGTTGTTAAGGTTTAGGGTTTAGGGTTTCGGGTTTCGGGTTTAGGGTTTAGGGTTTAGGGTTCAGGGTTTAGGGTTTAGGACCCAGAGTAGGCCCTTGTTCCCTTTGTTTACGGTTTAGATTTCTTTATAAGCCCCTTCAAACCAAACAAAGCACCCTTTGTATGCCTAGGGCAGCTAAGGACCCGGACCAGGCTTCCTTGTTCCCTTTATTTCCCTTTATTTCCCTTGATTTAGGGTTTCGGTTCCCTGATATAAGACCCTTTATTTAGGGTTTAGCTTCCCTTTACTTTCCTTTATGTAGATTTCTTGATGGCCCAGTGGTACCCTTTACCCTTTTTTCCCCTGTGTTCCCTTATAAAGTAACCAACCAAAAAAAGGGTGCCCATATTATAATATGGTTACTGGGCTACCAAGATTTAGGTTCCCTTAGAAGCCCCTTTAGACCGCATGTACACTTTCATCGCACTTTTGCCTTTTGCTTTTTAGGGTTTCGGCTCCCTTGTAAGCCCTTTTTTATCCAAGAAGGGCACCCTGTTGATTCCGAGGTTCCACTTGGGTCTGGGAGTAGCTGCATGACACGCCATGAGTTGCAGCGAAAGATCGCCCGAACCCGAAGTCTCGTGAACCCTTACACCTCTGAATCCTAGCTTCAGGGCGTAAGGTTTAGGGCCTTTAGGGTTCAGGGTTTAGGGTTTAGGGTTTAGGGTTTAGGGTTTAGGGTTTAGGGTTCTTCAACCGCGGGATTGCATAATTGTTTGGTTTCTGATTTACAGGTTATTCTTGCCACGAGCTACATTTCTTGTAGAGTACATCTTGTACATTTTATGAACTTTGTCATACATATCTCTAGTTGCATAATGTATCGCATCATTTTTTGAAACGCAGTATACCCTGTATGATGTTCCCCCTTTTTTCCTTTCTAGGGAGTATAGTGCCCCTATGATCCTCCCTAGTAAGGACTGTTAGAATAAGGGGGGAACATCCCAAAATCTACCATGTACATCCGAAATTAGGGGGTTCCTTATTGTGGTCCTTACTTAATGAGGGAATCCTACTACCCTTTTGGGGTTTAGGGTTTAGGGTTTTGGGTGTAGGGTTCCTTCTTTTCGTAAACCTCCATATACCATGCATGACGCATCTGCCTGAAGAACTCTGAATAAACCCAAAAGTCATCCAAACCGCAGCCTCGACTCCAGGGTTTAGTCTGCCTTTTGCCAGGTTTAGGGTTTAGGGTTTAGGGTTTAGGGTTTAGGGCTTAGGGCTTAGGGCTTAGGGCTTGGGGTTTAGGGTAAACCCAAACACTCCAAAAACCCTTCTGTGGGAACATTCCTCATAAATCGTTTCTGATCTTTGGATTGATTCTTGTCTCCGCGCCCCCCGCTGGGTCTCTACTGCAATATCTTGTTGCAGCTGAGGGTGCCGAACAAGGGTTTAGGGTTTAGGGATCCAGCTCAACCCCCCTTCCCACCGCCCTCCCCCCCCAAAAAAAAAAAACACACACACACACACACACAGCCAAGGTCCTTGACCCAGCAACAAGATGCACTGGACCGAGCTTTGCAAAAGGTGGCGGGATATGCGGAAGCGCGACAGGCATTTGGAGTGCGGCAGTCCTACTACGAAGCCAAAGACATCTTCACAAGTTGGACTGTGTCTCGGGTGGGCCGCTAGCGATCCTGGCGAAGGTTGTGCATGATTGGTACGTGGGTTTAGGGTTTGGGATTGAGGGTTTAGGGTGTAGGGTTTACGGTTTAGGGTTTAGGGTTTAGGGAAGTATTTTCCTTTTCTAAACCATGCACCGCAAGCCTTAAACCGCACATAGAAGTGGGCTAGAAGCCCTACATTCGACTCACAGAAGTTTTTAAAGGCTGGGAGGCCTCGTGGCGTGCACAGCACCGAAAGCTTGACGTGAGCAACAAGGGTTTAGGGTTGAGGGTTTAGGGTTGAGGGTTTAGAGTTTGGGGTAGAAAAAGACAATTCCTTGTCCAGTCACTTCCAATGCATCGGCGTGCCGTGAAAGTCAACGCAGACGGGCTCTCCTGGTCCCTGCAAGTTCCGACACCTGATTGGTTTATCCGCTGGTGCACGTCTGCACGTGCACTCGCACCAGCTGCCGGCAAAGAGAGCGTACCTTCGAGTTCGAGCTTAGTGGGCCGAATGCACCCTAAAACCTAAACCCTAAGCCCTAAACCCTATACCCTAAGCCCTAACTGAAGACCCCTCAAAGATTCCAGGGATCATCCTGAATCCATGTAGGAAGTAGGGAGATCAGCTGCTACTTCGGGGGCATTGTCCCGCAAAGTTCAACAGACCCTACCTACTTGAAGGTTCAGGGTTTAGGGTTTAGGGTATAGGGTTGAGGGTTTGGGGTTTAGGGTTTAGGGTACTTATGAGCCCAATTATAAGTCTACTTCTAACCTACTTAGAGGACTTAGGGGGCTTCGAAGCACAGTTATAATTGGGGTTATAAGTACCCTGAACCTCCAAGTACCCCCCAAAGACGGCATGCTTGGGCCCCTTAGGCCATGCCCTGAACGAGGCCCTAAATACTTGCTGGAACAAGGTAAATGGCAGTTTTTTCGCATGTTAAACGCCCCCAACCCTAAACCCTAAACCCTAATCCTTAAACCCTAAACCCTAAACCCTAAACCCTATACCCTAAACCCTAAACCCTAAACCCTAAACCCTAAACCCTAAACCCTAAACCCTAAACCCTAAACCCTAAACCCTAAACCCTAAACCCTAAACCCTAACCCTAAACCCTACACCCTAAACCGGCTTCACCATCCAACTGTGAGGCCCCGAGATGCAGGTGGATCTTTCCCTTTTTCAACCCTCAGGACCTGGCAAACCCTGAAACCCTAAAACCCTCGACATCCCTACTTTAAGACCTATACGTTAAAGTTTACAGTACACATGGTCATTTACGACAAGGGAGACCCGTGATGGGTCTGTGAGTTAGCCAGTTTGGAGGCATCACTGTCTTACTTAGCCAATAGTAGAACTGTATTTTTTGGGAAAATAAAGTCTAACCTGTATATCTCTTCCTTGGTGGTTGGAGAAGTCAGCTGTATCTAGCTTTCGGGTCGTTCGCGTGATGCCCTACATGCAAAAACGGCGCCGCGACCAAGCAAGGACTCGGGGTTCAGGGTGTAGGTTTAGGGTTTACGGTTTACGGTTTAGGGATTCGAGATCTGAACGCGTTGCAATGTTGGGCTGTTGAGCTGTAATCTCGTCACCAAGGAGAAAGGCTACCCGGATAGCTCCTTACCTAGGCTAGACTGTTGAAGCCTTTACAGTATTAAGGTTCAGGCTTAAACCCCATTTCAGACTAAACCTTAAACCCCAAATCCCTAAACCCTGAACCCTAAACCCTAAACCCTAAACCCCCTTAAGAGCTGTCCTCTTGGTACGCTTCCAGTTGCAGCGGCGACGCCGACGCCGACGCCAGCCCCAGTGGCCCCAGCCGGCGAAGGCCAGGGTTTAGGGTTTAGGGTTTAGGGTTTAGGGTTTAGGGTTTAGGGTTTAGGGTTTAGGGTTTAGGGTTTAGGGTTTAGGGTTTAGGGTTTAGGGTTTAGGGTTTAGGGTTTAGGGTTTAGGGTTTTAGGCTTTAGGACTTTGGGGGTGTTCTAGGGGCTAGATTTTTAGAATTTAGGGTTGAGGTTAGGGTTGAAGGTGCAGGGTGGTTACTTGGAAAATTGTAGGTTTGGGGGCTCGGGCTTTACCACCCCAAGCTCAGAGCTCCGGGTTGAGGAGTGTAGGCTGTAAGGCTTGGGGTTAAAGACTGAACGACCATCCTCCCAAGAGGCGAGCATCAAATCAGGAGGCCCCTCCCCAACCTACCTGGGACCCGATTCTACCACCAGAGTTACGGTACACGCTTACTGAGAGAAGTGGAAAAGTGCAAAAAGCCAGGGCTCAGGGATTACGGCTGCAGGGGAGAGGACCCGCACAGCCAACAATGTCACAGAGGGCACGGGAACCATCATGCAATGCAGGTGCGAAAGCAGAGGCTGCGAAAGCAGAGGCGCCCGCTGAAGGCGCACATCCCCCAAAGACCCAGAGACTGTTCGGAGAAAAATATTCATTTCAGTACGTTGCACTGGTGATGTGCATGCCTATGACTTCCTCGTTGTTAGAACGGAATGAGGGAATGAGGTGCCCTACATCCCCCTGCAAATACCCCTTAGGGGATATTATGTAGGGTACTTAATTCCCTACGAAGAACCATGGGATGACCTTGAAGGTATGGTGCCAGGTAGACCTTCACGAAATTCCGCACCCTAAGTCCTGGATCAAGCCCGAAACCCAGCCCCAACCAACAGTTGGATCCGAAATGCGGAGATAGGTTCTCTCCGAATACCCTCAATTCGGGTTTAGGGGTTAAGGGTTTGGGGTTGAGGGTTTAGGGATGTTTAGGGTTTAGCGTCTAGGGTAACCTAGGGAGTTCCTGGGTTGAGGACTGTCTCCGCTCAGGCAAGAAGCCGGGGGAGAAAGGCAGCGGCAAGAAAGAGGAGAAAAAGGAAGGCGGGGCCCTAAATAAACCTTCCACCCAAAACCCCCTAAACCCCAAACCCTAAGCCCTAAATCCTCACAATCATCAACGCTGCACCCTACAGGGCGGGTCCTAAGAGCCCAAAAGGATCCTAAAGCCCAGAAGGATCCTACTAGGGTTTAGGGTTTAAGGGTCTAGGGTTTAGGGTTCAGGGTTCAGGGTTTAGGGTTTAGGGTTCAGGGTTTGGGTTTAGGGTTTAGGGTTCAGGGTTTAGGGTGTAGGGTTTAGGGTTCCGGGTTTAGGGTTTAGGGTTTAGGGTTTAGAGTTTGTTTACCCTATTCGGGTCTCTAGGCCTTGGGGCTAGTGTTTAGTCGGGCCCTCAACCCCTAAGTGTTCCATTTTGAGGGAAGGATGCTATGAAGGGTTTAGCCCTGAAGCCACACTTCCTACACGCCAGATCACCAATTGGATGGTTTAGGGTTTAGGGTTTAGGGTTTAGGGTTTAGGGTTTAGGGTTCAGGGTTTAGGGTTTAGGGTTTAGGGTTTAGGGTGTAGGGAGCCAGCAAATTCGAACTCTGAGCTCTGCAAGCCCTCAACCCTGACCGACCGCTAAAATATTCGCTTCGGGTTCATCGCTAGATGACATGTGAAGCAGGCCTTTGGGCCCCCAAGGGGTTTAGGGTTTAGGGTTTAGGGTTTAGGATTTAGGGTTTAGGGTTTAGGGTTTGGATTTAGGGTTTAATCAGGGTTCAGGGTTTAGGGCGTTTCTGATGCTCAGGTGCGCAGATCTGGATTGGCAACCTCGCGGAGAAGATCGCCACAGAGGAGGAGATCCGAAAACACTTCGGAGGCCTTCTCTGCGATCTAGCCCCATGGGGTTCGGGGTTTAGGGGTTTAGGGTGTAGGGTTTAGGGTTTAGGGTTTCCGAAATTAGGGGTACCTTATTGCGGTCCTGATTAGAAGGGAATCCTACGATTTGGAGGTTTATATTCGGGCTCCCGTACTTCGTAGACCCCCACATTTCTTTCAAGCAGCTGTAACCCTCAACCCATCGTCCCTGAAACAGCACGTATGTAGGGGTTCAGAGATTTCAAAGGGTTGGAGCTGAAATGGGATGCGACAAAGAGACAAAGAGGAGCTCATGATTCGTTGTAGGTTTGTATCCAGAGGCCTTGGTTACAGGTCCTGTCGGAGTTGCCCAGGCCGATGTGCTGAAAAGGGTTTGGGGGGCTTTGATCAAACGCCCCCGCAGCCCTAAAGTGATGGCGATATACAGGCTATACATCCCTTAAGCGAAAACAAGATTTGCTTGAGCCTGAAACCGCGCAACCTCCCAAACCCTGAACCTCAAACACGGCATTTCACCTCGCGCACTCGTGGTCCGACAAGTTCCTGCGCAGGCTTCGGCCAAATCACGGATGTCAAGTTCAAGATGAACAAGTAGCTTTGCCAGATCAGAGGGTTGTTTCGTGTCCTCTGAACCCTCAACCCTAAACCCTAAACCCTACACCCATAACCCTTAAACCCGTGGAATGTTCTGTGTAATGTTCTTGTGCTTCTGGCACCAAAGCTTCTTATTCTAGCCCTGCTGCATCCTTCACAACCCTAACAACCCCAAGCCTCTTGCAATCAGAAACCCTCAGCCGCGAAAACAAGAACCTACGAGCCTTGTGAAGGCCAAAAATGTCCAGAGCACCCCATGAACCCTCCTAAACCCTGAGCCCTAAACTCTAAACCTCAAAAACCTCTGAACACTAACCCCAAAGGAAGAGGAACGGCGACCTGAAGCTCTTCTATGCCTTTGCGACCTACGGCTCGGCAGACCAGGCTCTAGGGTTTAGGGTTTAGGGTTTAGGGTTTAGGGTTTAGGGTTTAGGGTTTAGGGTTTAGGGTTTAGGGTTTAGGGTTTAGGGTTTAGGGTTTAGGGTTTAGGGTTTAGGGTTTAGGGTTTAGGGTTAGGGTTTAGGTTTAGGGTTTAGGGTTTAGGGTTTAGGGTTTAGGGTTTAGGGGGGGGGGGGGGGACCTTTGGTGTTTTAGGGGTTTGGGATGTGGGGAGCCCTAAACCCCAAACCCTAAACCCTACACCGTTGTTCTAAGTTCGGGTTCAGAGTTGAGGGTGTTGAGGGGCTGTTGCTGGGTGCAATGGGTTTAGGGCTTAGAGAGATCTTGATCGCCAGTAAGTGGGTAGTTCTCTAGATTGGGGGTCCCCATGTAGAACACGGCACCCTCAGAGGAAGACGTCGCAAAAACACCCCGAAAACCTCAAACCTATTTTTGGAGTTCCTCTGAGCTGGGTCTGAGGGGCTTAGGGTGGAGAGCATCTTCTCAGTCCTAGGGCTTTCAACCCAACATCGAGGCGTAGCCCCTTTAGAAAGTTTCCGTTTTTATTTGTTAGGGTTTAGGGTTTAGTGTTTAGGGTTTAGGGTTTCAGGGTTTAGTGTTTAGGGTTTAGGGTTTAGGGTTTAGGGCACGGGAATATGAAAGCATAGTGTTTTTGAAATAAGGGGCCAAGGGGAGTGTAGACACTGCCCTGAACACAAGCGCCATACATGGCCATCACGGTCATTCAAAGGATTGAGGCACGTACCCCATAAGGTTGTACCCCGTAAAGGTTACCCTTCACATACTCCGAGCATGGCTATACTACCTTAAGGAAATTGTCAAAAGGATCCCTAAAACTCCAGGGTACAACCTTCAAGGTCCAAGGGACAACCCCTAGAGCCCTAGAGTCGTAGGGTCCGTATTTTGGGGCAAACAAGAAAACCATGCTGCACTGGAAGATTGAAATACTCGCGCTCAAGCACACCACACCGCCCCCCAAACCCTGAACCCTAAACTCTCAACCCTACACCCTGCACCCTAAACCCTACACCCTACACCCTAAACCCTAAACCTTTCAGGCAAAGGCAGCCGTTGAAGCCGGGGCCTAAGAACTGCTCGCACTTTGCCTCATCAGGTTTTGCTGTCACTTGCATGTCGCAGTTACTGCTAGGGTTTAGGGTTTAGGGCTTAGGGCTTAGGGCTTAGGGTTTTAGAGTTTAGGGTTTAAGCGCGTTCTGCTTCAGGTTTTCAAGTGTTAGGGGCTCTTCTTGTTCCTTGCTGTACATCGGGACCGAGGCCGAAATGCCTTGAACCCTCCACCCTACACGCTAAACCCTCAAACCCTCAACTTCTACAACTTCTAGAGGCCTAAGCCCTGAAACCCCAAAATCCCTTAAACCCCTGAATACCCTAAACCTTAAAAGTCCCTTAGACCCCTTAAGTCCCGAAAGCCCTTAAGCCCTAGCTAGACCTCTAGAGGCCTTGGTTTCTTCAACCCTGTGAGCCGGCAGTTTAGTGCATTTTGGGCAAAAGGGGGTCGTGTAGGGCCTCGTAGAGCCCTTTAGAGTTTCATGGGTTGAGGGAGTAGGGATTCAGGGTTTAGGGATTTAGGTTTTGGGTATAATCGTCTTAGTGTTGAGGGTTGAAGGCTGAGGGTTGAGCTGTTTCTGATGATGCTTGCATGCTTTTTGGTGTCTAGCTGCCTCAAGAGTTGAAACGCTTCGGTGCCAATCCTAGGGCCTTCGTCTCAGGAACTGCAATTCTCCGACCTAACACTTGGTCACAACCTCCTGAAGGGTGGCCACAGCCTTCACACCCCTCGCGCTCTCTCTTTACATATTTTGTATATGTTATATTAGTTCTTAGAAAACAAGTATATGTATATTTTTTAGTTGGGATCAGAACCTTGATGGGCTTCTTCCCTGATGCCGAAACCCCCTAAACCCCAAACCCTAAATCCTAAATCCAACCCCAACCCCATTAGTTCAGAGAGCAGACCCTCCTCTGCCCCGCAGCCCGCTTTCCAGGCCATGAACGGCCAGGTGATCAGCGAGGGCACAGAGCCTCTACAGGCCGCATGCCCGCAAGCGTTTCTCGTTCCAAGGTTTAGGGGGTTTGGGGTGTAGCGTTTAGGGCCTAGCGGGTTTGGGGTAGAGGGTTTAGGGCTTAGGGCTCAGGGCTTAGGGCTTAGGGTTTGGGGTTTGAGGCTTAGGGGCCCCCACCCTAAACCCTAAACCCTAAACCCCTAAACCCAAAACCCTAAACCCTAAACCCCTATGACCGCCCGAGCTGCTGTCAGGTATCTTTCGCAGATCGCCAGCTCATGGAGGGCTACTGGGCTAGCAGGAAGAGCAAAGGTGAGGGTTTAGGGTTTAGGGTTTAGGGTTTAGGGTTTAGGGTTTAGGGTTTAGGGTTTAGGGTTTAGGGTCTAGGGTTTAGGGTTTAGGCTTTAGGGTTTAGGGTTTAGGGCTGTAAAATCGCGTACAACCTAAAGGACAGGCACGGGGAGCGAGGGAGAAGTGGCTTGGATTTAGGTCTCACAGATTTGGCTGCTGTGCGTTCGGGACTGTTTGGGGCATTTCCATGCTGCCAAGCTAAACCCTAAACCCTAAACCCTAAACCCTAAACCCTAGGGGTCCGAACTTGATGCTGCGGAGATCGGAGGGAGGAGAGCAAGTCTTAAGAACCCCAACCCTAGAACCCTTCAACGGAAGAAACAGCTAGTCCACATGATTCCCGAATGAAACGCTAAACCCCAAACCCAAAACCCTAATCCTAAACCCCAAACGCTAAACTCCAAACGCAAAACCCTAAACCCTAAGCCCCTAAACCCTAAACCCCAAATCCTAAACCCCTATACCTAAACCCCAGACCCTAAACCCCAAACCTAAACCCCTAAACCCTAAACCCCAAGTCCACACGATTTCTTGAGGCGGAAAGGGCAAGGAGGGCAAAGGGAAAGGGAAGGAAGCCAAAGGAGGCCCTCACACTCTGACAATTCAGGGTTTAGGGTTTTGGGTTTAGGGTTTAGGGTTTAGGGTTTAGGGCTAGGGTTCAGGTTCAGGGCTCCGAGTTTAGGGTTTTGCGTTGGGGCTCTTGGCTGAAAGCTTAGGGCTTTTCGGGTTTACGGTTTTGAGCGCGCAGCCTGACCCCTAAGACACAGGGAGAGGCCCGGTTCAAACACTCTCGGGTTTTAGGTTTGGGTTCGGGTAAACCTTGGGTACAGGGCTAGCTTGTTTATAAACACCGCAAAGTTTAGAGTTTTTGCGCCTTGTACAATCAACGCTATATGAGCGCCCGCCAAAATTATGTTTCTTCAAGCCAGTACTACAGTGGACACGAGTTGCTAAACCATGGAAAGCGATATGGGCCCCACCTAAACCGATAACATTAATTTGCACATTTAGATACATGCATCCCACAGTCTCATAGTATGTAAAGCGATATGTCCACGTAAAGTGAGAACATGGTATTGCGCGACCTCACACCGTGTAAAGTAATTTTGTCTGGCGCTCATATAGCCTACACACGAACGGGGCTACCATTAAACCCTGAGAGCCTGCTTGGAGGTTCGTGGTACTTAATCGTGAGTTATACCTGTATTTATAAGCCACTCCTAAGCCCCTTAATTACCCTAATGTGGTTATAATTGGGTTGTAAGTGCAATTACTATTTGGTTGGTAAGTACCATGAACCTCCAAGTACATGTTATACCATGATGGCAGAAACCCCCAGACATGTCCCTTCACAACCTACCCCCAGACTCCATCCAACATAGAAAAGAGGGTTTAGGGTCTAGGGTCTAGGGTTTTAGGGTTTAGGGTTTAGGGTTTAGGGTTTAGGGTTTAGGGTTTAGGGTTTAGGGTTTAGGGTTTACGGTTTCGGGTTTAGGGTTTGGGGTTTAGGGTTTAGGGTTTAGGGTTTAGGGCTTAGGGTAGGGTTTGGGGTTTGGGGTTTAGGGTTGAGGGTGTACGACGCCCAAAGTAACCCCACCAGAACGGACGGACACCCTAAACCCTAAACTTTAATAAACTTTAAGAACCCCAAACCTACCTTTTTTTGACCCCCCTAAAGGAGTCTGAAGCAACCTGCAAGAAGTAGGTTTTGGGTTCTTACGGTAAGGTCACGCTAAAGCCTAAACCCTAAACCCAGAACCCTGAACCCTGAACCCTGAACCCTAAACCCTAAACCCTGCACTGTAGAGTTTGGGATTGAGGGCTTCGCGCTGAGGGTTCAAACGTGCGGGATTTTAAGGTTGAGAATATGTTGTGAGCTTTCGCTTGCGCTCTCAACCTGACATCGCAAGTCCTGAGCCATAACAGCCCAACCCAAGTTACCCAAGTTGCTAAGTTGCTAAGAAACCTCCACGATTCAATGCTTGAAGTTCCCATCTCAACTCCAAAACCCTCAGACCTAAACCCTAAGTAAATCCTAAATCCTGAAGCCAAAAGCCGTATAAACCCCAAACCCTAAATGAATCCCACGCCCTGAACCCCGGCACCTCTCGCCGCGCGCGCGCGCGCGCGCGCGCATTCCGCTGGACAGGCGGCAAGGGCACCACCAAGGGCAAAGGCCGGTCCTCTAGTAGCCTAACCGTAACTCTACATACGTCGGCTCCCGAACCCTTAATTCGTAAGCTAAGGATCCATCTAGGTAGCACCCCCCCCCCCTTTCAAACAAGCGCTACTGCAAGCTTGTTAGGCCTCAACGATTGCTGCTTTCTCGGTGCGGCTCTGCAAGGTTTAATGATTTGCATTCCGCCGTGGTTTTTCAGGTTGAGGGCCTACTGTAGGTTCCTGCCGCCTCCTGTGTGTTTGGTTGTCCCGGTTGCTGTCACCTCGAGCTTGAGGGTTTAGGGTTTCGAGCTTGAAGAATTCAGGTTCCCCAAACCCTAAACCCGAAACCCTAAACCTTAAACCACATAGATGCGTTTCTCCCTATTCCCCCAAGCCCGAGAATCTTAAACCTCACCCTGCCACAGCGCACGGTTTGCTGGGTTCGTGTAGGGTTTAGGGAAAGTTTAGGGTCTAGGGTTGGGACCCTTAAGCCCATAAACCCTAAACCTTAGCAACCCCTCTAGCAGCACCCCTAAACCCTAAACCCTAAACCCTAAACCCTAAACCCTAAACCCTAAACCCTAGGCACCATGATGGCAGAAACCACTTCCGCAGGAAAGGGGAAGGACAAGTCTGGCCAGACGTGCCCTGGGCAGTGCTGATTGCGTTTAGGCTTCAGGTTTAGGGTTCAGAGAGTAGGGTTTAGGGTTTAGGGTTTAGGGTTAAATCCACCCAACCCAAAGACGAAGATCCTCGACGCCATCAAGCCGAGGTGCCTATCGGTGTATCCATCGATGGGCCATAGCATAGGGTTGTAGGGTTTAGGGTTTAGGGTTCAGGGAGTAGGGTTTAGGGGGTAGGGTTTAGGGTCCCGTAGGGTTTAGGGTTTAGGGTTTAGGGTTTAGGGTTTAGGGTTCAGGGTTTAGGGTTTAGGGTTTAGGGTTTAGGGTTTAGGGGTACCCACCATCCTCAAGGCAGAGTAGTTTGGGTGTGCTGGGAGCTCGGAATGGTTGCACCTCGGTGAAGGCTAGCCCCTATGCCCTGAAACCCTACTTACTCGCCCTAAACCCTAAGCCCTAAACCCTAAACCCTAAACCCTAAACCGGACACGGGTAGGAACCTGGGTTTCGGGACTTGTGGAACTGTAGAGTTGAGGGGTTATGGTGTATTAGGGTGTAGGGTTTAGGGTTTAGGGTTTAGGGTTTAGGGTTAGGGGTTTCTTGCAGGTTCATGGTACCTCATAACCCAACTAGAACTGTACTTATAACCTAATTGTAACCATATTGGTGCACTTAAAGGGCTTATAAGTGGTTATATGCACAGTCATTATTGGTTTATAAGTACCATGAACCTCCAAGGTGGAGTGTTTCACCCAGGCCCTTGCAGCACATTCTAGCTTCCAAAACTGGTGTGTGTCATCACGTCATCAGGCTGAGCAACACCGATTTACCTCGAGCAGAAGCCACCCAAACATAGGAGTTCTGTTCAAACTGGTCCCCAAACCCTAAACCCTAAACCCTAAACCCTAAACCCTAAACCCTAAACCCTAAACCCTAAACCCTAAACCCTAAACCCTAAAGATGGGCTCAGAGAGGGAGAGACTCGGAGAGAACTTCGGCCAGGAACCCATACTACCCATACACTCCAGAGCAAGTTCAGGCGGGGGCAGGGGTTGGCAGTCAGGTTGAAGCTTTCGGGTTTAGTGTGTCTCGTTTCGGGTGCGGTTCGGGGCTTAGGTACATCTGAGACCGTTCTTTACCGCCACCTGACACTTTCAAAGCGGCGTGCCTTGCTAGATCTCATCCGGAAGAAACTCTTTGATGCAAGCCTGCCCAAGAAACCCAACCCTCTCCCTCCCCCCCCCCCCAACCCGCTGCGCAACCTAAACCCGAAACCTATAAACCCTAAACCCTCGACCGCTTGCAGTACGCCTGGGCAATGCACGCGCAATACTACCAGCAGCTCGAGGCGCACGCTCTTCAGGCTGGGCGTTTGGGTTTAGGTTTCTTAGGGGTTTTCTGGGTTTGGGGCGGGTTTAGGGTGCAGGGTTTAGGGTTACCAGGTAAGAGTGGACCAAGAATCTTTTGGGGGGTTTGCGAGGCTACGTACCCCTATTTTGGGAAGCGCCCGGATTATCACCCGTCTTGGTCATCCATGGCTTGGCCTTTTACAGGTCAGAAGTTGTCTCCAAGACGGAAGTTCCCATTAAGAGCCAGGTTTCGGTTTTTTTTCTGGCTCAGGGAGTGGGCTCTCAGTGCAGCTTCTAGGACCCAGAGTAGGCCCTTATTCTCTTTATTAGGGTTTAGGTTCCCCTACAAGCCCCGCTAAGCAAAAAGGGTGTACCCTTTTCATTCTTACTCTTGGGTCTAGGCTGTTACTACCCCCCCTCTTACCTTAACCATGCCTCACTGGGAGGTTCTGGGTACTGATGACCCGGGTATGGCAGCCACTTATAAGCCCCTTAAGTATCCTAGCAGGGTTACAAATCATAAGTACAGTTCTTGAGTACCATGAACCTCCAAGCAGCCTAACTCAAAATCAGCTCCAAAGACTGTAGCAACCTAAGCCCCGAATGTCAAAGCCCGGGGATAGTGGGGATCCCATCTGGAAACAAGGGCTACTAGGTTGAAATGAAGGTTCACTTGCAGGTTCAGAGCAACATGTAACCCAACTATGAGAACCACCTTAAGTGTCCTACAAACTGTAGACCCAAAGCCGAAACTTTGCGAATAAGTACCAGGAAACATATGGGTGGTTGTCGAAATGATGGTCCCTTTTTTGGATCCCTATAATCATACGGCACCGAATATTTAGGGTACCCCAGAAATGGGATCATAATTTTGACAGCCACCCATATGAACCTCCAGGTAGAGAAGGATGCTATGAAACAGTTGACCCTAAACCCTAAACCCTAAACCCCAAACCCCAAACCCCAAACCCTAAACCCTAAACCCTAAACCCTAATCCCTAAGCGCCCTAAGCCCTAAGCCCTAGCAGCCCGTACCTGCAGGCTCAGGCCTACTACAGCGGATTCACTGGCCAGGTCGCTCCGTTAGTTCAAACGGTTCTAGGGGTTGTAGGGGTTATAGGGCTTAGGGCTTAGGGTTTAGGGTTAGGGTTTAGGGGTTTATGGGGTTATAGGGGATATAGGGGTTATAGGGGTTATAGGGGTTATAGGGCTTATAGGGCTTATAGGGGTTATAGGGGTTATGGGGGTTATAGGGGTTCTAGGGGTTATAGGGGTTTAAAGGGGTTATAGGGGTTATAGGGGTTATAGGGGTTATAGGGGTTATAGGGGTTCTAGGGGTTCTAGGGGTTCTAGGGGTTCTAGGGGTTATAGGGGTTTAGGGGTTCAGGCGTTTCGGGGGTGTAGGGGTTTAGGGATTTACGGGTCTATGGTCAGGGGCTAGGGCTTCGGGACCCAAAACCCCACAATCCGTCCAGCTTTGACACCAAGAGTTCGCATCTTGGACCGTTTTCTCACACCATTTAGGATTTAGGATTTAGGGTTTAGGGCTTACGGTTTAGGGTTTAGGGGTCGAGCCATTCCGGCTGAACGGTTGAGAGTTTCGAGCAAGGCTGTTGTGGAACATGCATGCTGCGTGCAAGACTTGGAATACGCCGTCGCCAGGGGTTCCATAATCCGGGCGCAGCGTGAGTTGTAGGGTTTAGGGTTTAGGGTTTAGGGTTTAGGGTTTAGGGAGGATGAAAGTAATAAATTCTGTTTAAATTCTTAGTACAGCATTTCTGAACCGGAGGTTCGCCAAGACCCTACTTTGGAGGATCGGGGCACTTAGTAATTCAGCAGGGCTATAGGTACCTTCACTGGGGATGTAAGGTATTTCTAAGTATAGTTGCCTTTCTTATAACCCACTTACGAAGTCCCCTGATCCAGAGAGTACATTAGGAGGAAGCCCTAGTATACTTACTTAGAACCCCACTTGCTACGTCGCCTGATCCGTTAAGTAGGCTGGTGCAGCATCTTCGGGTTACAGCACAGATCCCCAGATGTGTACGCGCCACCTTTCTAGACCCTACTTAAAGATCAGGGGACTTAGAAAGTGGGGTTATAAGCACCTTGAGTATAGTTGCCTTACTTGACCCCTAAACCCTAAACCCTAAGTCCCCTGATGAAAGGCAACTATACTTGGGGATCAAAGCCTGCCTACTTAGCTTGTGAGCAGGGAAGTGGAATTGCCGAACCGAGGATTCCCGGGTTGAATCAGGAGTTTAGGGTTTGGGGGTTTAAGGGTTAGGGTTTAGGACCCGAAACCCTAAGTAAGAGGTTGAGGGGGTTTAGGGTTTGGGGTTTAGAGTTACGTGACTTGTAGGGTTTAAGGGTTAGGGCTAAGTGACTCCTAAACCCTAAACCCTGAACCCTAAACCCTAAACCCTAAACCCTACTTTGTACGTGGCCAGGTCATTCCAAGCCAGGCAGCCATCTCTGCTGCTTCCCAGAGCGCTGGCACGTCGACTGCGAAGACGTAGCTAGCCCAGACTTGGGTTTCTTCAGGTGCTCAACCCTAAACCCTAAACCCTAAACCCCAAACCCTAAACCCTAAACCCTAAACCCTCAGGGTTTAGGGTCCAGGCTTTAGGTTTGGGACAGCCTTGGGGTGGGGATCTGCAGTTGGCTTCCGCCAGTAGGGGTTTAGGAGCCCAAACCCACAAGACCAATGCCTGCACCCTGTACTTGGAGGTTCAGGGTACATATGTCCCAATTATAACTCCCCTTAATTACGACAGCATGGTTAGAATTGGGCTATAAGTACAGTTACAATTGGGTCATTAAGTATAGTGAACCTCCAAGTATCCTAAACCCTAAACCCTAAACCCGAAATCAGAGCCCTGGTCTGTAAGGCCGGCAGCACCTCCTTCGAAGCCGCCTCCACCCCCGGACAAAGAGTTCACTGGGCAAGTGAACCATGGCTGCAGCTTGGTGTTCCTAAACCCTAAGCCCAAAACCCTAAACCCTTAACCCTAAACCCCTAAACCCCTAAACCCCTAAACCCTAAACCCTAAACCCTAAACCCTAAACCCTAAACCCTAAACCCTTAAACCCTAAACCCTAAACCCTAAACCCCTAACCCCTTAACCCTTAACCCTTAAACCCTTAAACCCTAAACCCTAAACCCTATTTTGGTGTTTGCCTTTGCCGGCTTAGGACTTCGGGTTTGGGGTTTGGGGTTTAGGGTTTAGGAATTGGGGTTGAGGGTTTCAGGCTTAGGGCTTAGGGCTTAGGGTTTAGGGTCTAGGGTTTAGGGTTTAGGGTTTGGGTTTGGGGTTTAGGGTTCAGGGTTTAGGGTTTAGGGTTTAGGGAACCCCCCCAAAAAACATAGATATTCAGAAAAATAAAGACATGTGTCAGAAGAATGGGGCTAGGGGAGTGTCGGCAAGTGTGGTAGGCGCAGTGAAGGGCGCAGGGGTTATACGTACAGTTATACTTGGGCTATAAGTACCCTGAGCCTCCAAGTAATCGTGCGCCATGGCCATTCGCATGCACTGGTAGCCTGGGCGGAAGTAGTATAGGGGTCGGAAAAATTCCTAATAGTATTCCCTTATGGTCCGTATATGGCCCCAAAACCCTATTCCAATGGTGAAGGCCCCGACATTAGTCGCGAGTCGGAAGCGCCGAAGTGCACCTGAGTGAGCGAGGGCGGGTTTTTTTCCTGCCGCAAGCCAAGGCGTAGGGTTTAGGATTTATAGGGTTTAGAGTTTAGGGTATATGTGCTCCCGATGCAAGTTGAGATCGAAATCATTAGTTACTTATCGTGGTTGGAGCACCCAGTTTGGCACCGCACCCTCAAAGATGCGACCAACGTGTTCCCTTAAATGCTGAAGCGATCATGTGGAAGAACCCTAACCTAACTTTGCTCTTGGTAGCCCAGTGGTACCCTTTTCGTTTTTGTTCGGTTCAAGGTTCCCTTATAAAGCAACCAACCCAAGAAAGGGTACCCTTAGTATAACATGGTTACTGGGCTACCAGGGGTTTCGTGTGATGGGTTCTTATGCTGGCGGGGGCACCTGGCTGCCAGGAAGTCCATCAGCGCCAAGAACGGCTACGGATTCATCATCTGTCGCCGCCCAAGTCAGAAGGCCCAAAGAAGTTCCTAACCCTAAACCCTAAACCCTAAACCCTAAACCCTAAACCCTACTGTAAACTCCGTAAGCCCTCAATCGCAGTATGCGGCTTCCTTGGCAAAGAAGGCTGGGATGCCCAAGCAGTGCCCCTTAGTCCCTTTTTTGGGGGATTCAGGTTCCCTTGTAAACCCCTTTAAGCCAAAAAAGGGCACCCCTTGTTAATCCCAGGTTGCTGGGCAACCTAGTTGGTCTTCTAGCCCTAAACCCTAAAACCCTAAACCCTAAAACCCTAAAACCGAAGGCCCCCTAAACTCTCCAGGTGACGAGACAAAGAAGCTTTACGGCCGCGACGTCTTCGTGGAGCAGAAGGTTCTGCCGGAGGGTGTCGAAGTCCAATCGAAGGCAGGGTTTAGGGTTTAGGGTGTAGGGGCTTAGAGTTTAGGGTTTAGGGTTTAGGGTTTAGGGTTTAGGGTTTAGGGTTTAGGGTTTAGGGTTTAGGGTTTAGGGCACCAATGCTCTACAGCAGCTTAAGTTAAAGGTTGTCTTCTTGGTTACAAATCCCGGCCTACAGGATGTCCAGGAGCCCAGGATGGAAAATCAATGCTCACCCATTGCGGAAGTCTCTAAAATATGGGCCCTTTTTTGAACCACCCTAGATGTAACTACCATTTGCTTAAGAACCGCCCAAAAAAACTACAAAACCATATATTCTTTCTTATAAGAGTTTAAAAAAGGTTTTTTGTGTTTGTTTGTTTTTGTGGGGGGGGGGGGGTTCTTGAGCAAATAGTAGATAAGGCTCCGTGTTATAGTCGGATCCAGAATAGCGACTCACATTTTCCTTGAGCAATTGGAATACGCCTTAAACTGAAGGATATTGGCTTCCCTGGCAAAACGCAGAGAGCGGACCCGAAACCCTAAACCCTAAACCCCAAACCCCAAACCCTAAACCCGAAACCCTAAACCCTAAACCCGGAGTCCCACAGACAGCGGGTTTGGGCTTTCGGGGGGTTGGGAGCCCCCAGCTGCCCTGCCCTCCAAGCAGGCAGCCAGAGCTCGCCTCACCTTGGGTTTAGGGTTTGGGGTTTAGGGTTTGGGGTTTAGGGTTCAGGGTTTGGGGTTTGGGGTTTGGGGTTTGGGTGTGGGTGTTTGGGGTTTAGGGTTCAGGGTTTAGGGTTTGGGGTTAAGGGTTTAGGGTTCAGGGTTTCCCGGATCCCGAACCCAACAAGCCATCTTCCTCCCTCCCTCTTGGAGTAGCCCTGCTCAGTGTTCATGGGTAGGGTTTAGGGTTATTAGGGTTATTAGGGTTTAGGGCAAAATCTTTTCCGGGGTACAAAACATCATAATTATCCCAAATCCACCTACGCGTTAACGTGAACCACCCCCGCACGCAGAGCAAAAGAAAAAGTTGGCCTCTAATGTAGGGGTTAGAGCAATTACGAAGAGTGTTCCCTTCTGGTCCCTATATAATTAGACGACAATGACCCCCCCGCCAAAAAAATATTCTAACCATGTGGCCCTGTCAGCTAGCGAAAAGTTACCCCAAATATAAACCGTGAACCCTAGCCCTAAACCCCACACCCTACACCCTACACCCTAAACCCTAAACCCTAAACCCTAAACCCTAAGCCCTAAACCCTAAACCCTAAACCCTTGGGGATTCTGGGAGGTGACGTTCACCATCGAGCTGAGTGAGAAGGGACATCCGAGGGCTACCAAAGCCTTGCTCCCGGACTTGAGGGTTTAGGGTCTAGGGTTTAGGGTTTGGGGTTTGGGGTTTAGGGTTTAGGGTTTAGGGTGTAGGGTGTAGGGTTTAAGGTTGAGAGTTCGTGGTTAACCCTAAACCCTAAACCCTAAGCCCTAAACAACCCTCAGCCCTAAACCCGTATGTATGGGGCTAAACAAACGGCCCTCAGTCCCTAAGCTTAGGGTTTAGGGTCTAGGGTTTAGGGTTTAGGATGGTTTAGGGCCCTCAAGAGGGTGGGCTTGGAGTTGCGGGGATCGGAAAGTTCAGCGCTGCCAAATTGTGTTTTTGCGAGAGTCCACAATGTAGGGTGTAGGGTGTAGGGTTTAGGGTTTAGGGTTTAGGGTTTAGGGTTTAGGGTTTAGGGTTTAGGGTTTAGGGTTTAGGGTTTAGGGTTTAGGGTTTAGGGTTTAGGGTTTAGGGCGGAGGGTTTAGGGTTTAGGTGGTGTGCGGCTTCGGTGCGGCTCTGCCTTACTGGGTCTACTTGGAGGTTCACCAAAGCCTTGTTCCCAGACTGTAGGGTTTAGGGTTTAGGGTTTAGGGTTTAGGGTTTAGGGTTTGGGGTTTGGGGTTTGGGGTTTAGGGTTTAGGGTTTAGGGTTTAGGGTTTAGGGTTCAAGGCGGGCTCGAGCAACCCCAATGGTCCAAAGAGAGACAGGTTATCACCAGCTATGGCGCCCAATCCAAACACCCTAAATCCTACACCCTAAACCCTAAACCGAAAACCCAGAGGTCTTTGCAAAATTGTTGGCATGGTGCTTGGGGTCTGGAAGGAGATTCTGCCACGGCTCCTCCGAACTCCTCGGAACTCGAAGATGTTCAGCATCCAAGCCCTCAAGCCCTCAAGCCCAATCACACAAGCCCTGAGCCCGAGCCCTAAACCCTAAACCCTAAACCCTAAACCCTACACCCCCTCTTCCCAGCCTTGAGGTGAACCTGGTTGCTGGGGCGTGAGAGAACTCTTCTCGGGAACGTCTCACTCGCCCTGATGGCTTGGGTGACGAACACGGAGACCCCAAAATCATGCTCTCAACCCTCAACCTTGAACCCTCATCAATCCTCAAGTAAGCCCTAAACCCTCAACCCTCAAATGGGTACATGAAAATCAGTTCACTGTCTGCCACTCTCAGCTCGGGTCCCTCCCGCAGGTCAGAATCACAATTCGACCGACTGCTGGTTGGAGCCGGAAGCCCCAATGGAACCAGCATCCTTAAACCTTAAACCCTAAATCCTGAACTCTAAGGCCCCCACCCTGAACCCATCATCATCACCACTCGCATCAAGTTCTCGTGATGGCGTAGTCCTAAACCCTACACCCTAAACCCTCAAACCCTCAACCCTAAACCCACAGGCAAAAGGAGAGGGCGGGGAGGGAGCACGGAGGTTTGGGAGTATTCGGCGGAGGTGGTGCAACCCGCTTCCTTCAACCCTAATCCCATCCCCCTAATATTAAAGGGCCACCCCCCCCCCCTTGTAAAAACTCGAAAACTGTTTTTATAATTAGGGGGTATTCTTATCGAAATGTCATAATCAATTCATTAGACTTCAGGGTTACTCAAGTAATCAACTTAAGTAACCCTCTGAGGGCTTTATTGGTGTTGAGTGTTTTCTTGGAGGCCTGAACCCCCCCCCCCTAATTCGGAATAGGGTTTTAAGGCGGGGTTGGTTTCGGCAGGATTTTCAGGAAAGTGTTTTTATCATTAGGGGTCCATTTCATAAAAGGGGGATGGGATTAAACCCTAAACCCTAAACCCTAAACCCTAAGCCCTAAGCCCTGAGCCCTGAGCCCTGAGCCCTAAGCCCTAAACCCTAAACCCGAACCCGACGCCTTTCCGGGATCCTAAACCCTTAATTCCTAAACCCTAAACCCTAAACCCTAAACCCCAAACCCTAAACCCTAAACCCTAAACCCTAAACCCTAAACCCTAAACCCTAAACCCTAAACCCTAAACCCTAAACCCTAAACCCTAAACCCTAAACCCTAAACCCTAAGCCCGGCCAGAGCGGGTCAGAAAGATCATTAGGGCCCTGCTCCAACCAGAGGTAACCTAAGGCAGTATGAAAATTTGAAGAGCCTGCCTACCTCGCGTTCCGCAGGCCGTGCGTGCTTCGCACGGTCTGTCTTTGAGATTCTTGGAGTTCAGCGCTTCGTGTGATGTTCGTGTGAAGTGGGACACGGCTGGCACATGCAGCCTTGATTTCTTGTACCTCTGGGCGCCTGCAGACTGCCAGCGCAAAGATGCACAAATTCGAGGAGAAAGAAACCTCCTTTTGGCTTGAAGCACAGACTATGCTCTCTTCGCGGAAAATCGCATTTAAAAGGCAAATGGCAGAAGCTGCGCTTCACATATCCAAGAATCTCCGATTGATATGAGCCGACAAAGAATAAACGAATAATGATATCGATTCCCTAATGCCCAAGTGCCACAAATCGTCGCACGTCTCCTTGTTGCAACAAGCTCCAATACATGATTCCAAAATGAAAAGAGTCTTTAATCCTTTTCCATCAAGAGGACTACCAAGATGACCCGTTTCCCTTTTTATTGATTCAATCGAAGGTATCTCTTGTATATATCATACGAAAGATATGGTCCACGTGTCGTGTATTCTTCTAAAATATCGGATTTATATAGAAAATGGAGGAATATTATTGAACTTGAGGGATCGAAGATATTTTTTAAATGACCCAAGGAAATGGAAGAGACCCCTACTATATATATAAGATATTCGAAATAAGACGATACCGATCGTTATGTTGAATTATATTCCAATCAAGAATCTTACCCGACTTATCGATCATCATAGAATAATTTCGATGAATTTTCGCATGAGATATATCTTCTAACGAATAAACAAAATCCATTTCTCTTATCTTATGATATAATTATCATATATAAGAATCATCTACTCTATAAAACGCTACGGTCAAACCAGCCCTATGCGGTGCGTCACGCCTCGGAGTGCCCCAGCCCCAAAATTTTCCGGAAATTTCTGGACCCCGGCGAGCAAGCCGCTTTGGCCTACCCGGGACCCAAAAATTTCCGGGAAATTTTGGGGCTTGGGCTGTGCCCTTTGAAAGGCTGGGCCTCTTCGACGGCCGCAAGCCGGATTCGCTCCCCTAAATTTCTGGAAAATTTCTGGTTCCGGGTAGCCCGAAGCCTCGGTCCCTAAATTTCCGGAAAATTTGCTTCATCGCTTTCCTAAATTTTCCGAAAATTTACACACCCAAAATTTTCAGGAAATTTAGGAAACGGATGCAGCCTGATCATGTTCAGAAGCCACGGCCCAGCTCCCTAAATTTCCGGAAAATTTAGGGTGCTGGGTGGCCGAAAATGTCGAAGCATTGTTGACCGCTTGAACCGTTGAGTTCAGGTGTTGATCATTTGCCATGTTGCTGCATGCTTTCATTGCATGCTTTCATTGTTTTCAATCGTGCTTTGTTTTGTGGCATTACAAAGCTAAAATATTAAACAGGACTTTTACTTCACTTCCAAGATGAGCGCATCACCTGGCATTACCAGGATATTACGAGCGTGCTTTGTTTTATGGCATTACAAAGCGCATTACCTGGCATTACCAGGTCGTCGTCGTCGTGCGTCGTCGTCGTCGTCGTCGTGCGTCGTCGTCGTCGTCGTCGTCGTCGTCGTCGTCGTCGTCGTCGTCGTCGTCGTCGTCGTCGTCGTCGTCGTCGTCGTCGTCGTGCGTCGTGCGTCGTGCGTCGTCCGTCGTGCGTCGTCCGTCGTGCGTCGTGCGTCGTGGGTCGTGCGTCGTGCGTCGTGCGTCGTTCGTCGTCGTCGTCGTGGTCGTCGTCGGGTGTCGTCGTCGTCGGGCGTCGCGCGTCGCGCGTCGCGCGTCGTGGGTCGTGCGACTTGCGACGTGCGTCGTGCGTCGTGCGTCGGGCGTCGGGCGTCGGGCGTCGGGCGTCGGGCGTCGGGCGTCGGCGTCGGGTGTCGTCGTCGTCGTCGGGCGTCGTCGTCGTCGTGCGTGCGTCGTGTTTCGGGCGTCGCACGTCTCGCGCGTCGTGCGTCGTGTGCGGCGTCGTCGTCGTCGTGCGAAGTCGTCGTCGTGCGTCGTCGTCGTGACGTGTCGTCGTCGTCGTCGTCGCGCGCGTCGTCGTCGGCGTCGTCGCGTATCGTCGTCGTTGTCTTGCGTCGTGCGTCGTACGTCGATTCTATAAAATATTATG